CTAGTCTAGAACCTCGAGATGAGACGGGATTGCCACCTCCTGGTCCGCCAGTACCCGCAAGCTCAAACATCAGGGTGAGAGCAAGGGTCCTTCAAAGAATCCGCAGATCCTGTTCCTCGGCAGCCCACTCCAGCCATGAAGACCGACGCAATTCAGAGACCCGGATACAGAAGCCAGAGCTGGACTCGGGGTTCGGTTCTTCTTCCTAAGTGGACCGCAGAACCAACGGTCCAAGCTTCACCTCCGAATAGCGTTTGGCAAGGGATTCGGTGTCCCTGAGGCGAGATAATCCAGTAAACCCACGTCTAAGGCTAGTTGCTCATCCTACAAAACCCAAACAAAACCCATCTGTTTTAGAACCCTGAGGTTCTAAAGAATTCCAAGAGGTCTGTAGGTAACAGCCCTACCATCTCCGCCCGGCTAGCTCAGTCGGTAGAGCATGAGACTCTTAATCTCAGGGTCGTGGGTTCGAGCCCCACGTTGGGCGAGCTGTTTTGTCTATGAAATCTGCAAACAGGCAGACGTCTGTGTGCTGCAGGAACTTGTGCTCATGGCTGAGGATTTCATATACAGCGCTACAGATTCAGAAGCCTGTGGAGGTAGAGCCAGGTTTTTCCTCTTTTTATTTAAATTTTATATATTTAACCTGACACTTTACAAGTATATCATACTTACATAAAAGTTCCAGGTACAACACGAAGAACATTCAGTCTCCTGCTTGGAGAGGGGCACCACCTCCCTGTACTTCTTGAAATTCCCAGGACTAGGCTGTGACTCCACAGACTTCCTCAAGAAGCTCGACCTCTTTCCATCCGAGACGGTGCTTCGAGGAATGGAACTAAGAAAGGTGGGCTCTCCTGCAATACAGCAATACAGCCTCTAACACACGAGGCTGGCTCGAACCCCCGGTACCGGCTTTGTTTTACTTGGACGCCGATAAAGACGGGAAAGCACCAGCATCCTCGTGCTGTGGGAGCTGAGTCCTTTCGAGACTGTCTAAATCAAGTTTCTGGCCGAATCTATGGGGGCTCCACCCGTGTGCTAAGTGTCTGCTTTCCATTTTAGAAAACAGAAACCATTGTGAAAATGTTGAAAGGACAGGGTCAGATAGCGAAATAAATATGAAGCCCCCCCCCCTTTTTTTTTTTTTAAAGCAGATTTTTAAAAGCAGGTTCCAATCCAGATTATTCTGGAACTCGAGATGTAGTCCAGGCTGGCCTCTAAAAGACTCACCTGCCTCTGCCTCCCTAATGCTGGGATGGATTATAGATGACACCGCCACCCTCGTTTTGAACCTTTTTTTTTTTTTTTTTTTTTTTTTTAGAAATAAAAAAAAAATATAGGGGCTGGAGAGATGGCTCAGTGGTTAAGAGCATTGCATGCTCTTCCGAAGGTCCTGAGTTCAATTCCCAGCAACCACATGGTGGCTCACAACCATCTGTAATGAGGTCTGGTACCCTCTTCTGGCCTGCAGGCCTATACACATACAGAATATTGTATACATAATAAATAAGTAAATATTTTTAAAAAAAGAAAAAAAAAGAAATAAAAAATATAAATTGTTCTAAAACAAGTTGAAGATCAGGGCCAATCTCAGGATAAACTATTGAGTAAAAAAAGAAAAAAGAAAAAAAAAAAGTCAGGGCCAAACCTCCAAAGACCTCCATACCTCCAAGACCTCCATCGCTGTTCTTTCTGAAACAAAGTAGAATTTCACCCCGCACGTTGCAGAATCACAAGTAAGGGGAACCGGCAGCCTCAGGGAGGCCTTCATGTGAAAGGCAGCATTAATTAACTAGTTAAGAAGGTTCCCTGGGCCATAATACATCAGAAGCTTCCAATCTTACAGTAGATTAACCCTTGTATTTTGGGAAATTTTTACCTTAAGGATGAAGCCACGCATTATACAGATTTTTAAAATACAGAATTATTATCTATTTCAAACATGTACTAAAGCTAAGAAAATAGTCTTTTGTGCTTTTGTGTCTGCCACTGAGCCATATATATACTCTGAGCCCCAATCTATAATTTATAAACTAATCCATTGTCTTGGAAGTTGATCTCTAAATAATTGTGTTTCTTTAAAAACAAAAACAAAACAATTTTGCCTTTAATCCCAGCTCTGGGGAAGCAGAGGCAGGTGGATCTGAGTACCAGGCCAGTCTGGTCTACAGAGAGAGTTAACAGGACAGCCAGGGCTACACAGAGAAACCCTATCTCGAAGAACAAACGAAGACTTTAAAATCTGTAACCTAACCTGGAGTCGAGGTGTACATCGGGGTTCAGGAAGAAGATGCAGAAGGACTGTGAATTAGAGCTGAGTCTGGACTAAATAACAAGACTCTCGTAAGTAACTTAAAAAAAAAAAAAAGGAACCACATTAAAATTGTACACCTAGAATCTGAACAATTACTGTTTTAGTATCAACTAATAATTGGTGATTCATAAAAATAGTTCCAACATCGGTGGCGCACGCCTTTAATTCCAGCACGCGGGAGGCAGAGGCAGGCGGATCTCTGCAAGTACTAAGGTCAGCCGTGGTCTACAGAGTGAGTTCCAGGACAGCCAGGGACACAGAGAAACCCTATCTCGAAAAAGACAAAAAACAAAAAAGTTCAAACGAAATCATTTATTTTGTAAACTATTAGCTTGCTTTTATTTAAAAACACAAAACTACCCTAAAACCTTTAAAGGTGAGTCAAAAATTCTCTCGACATTTTACTTTTGTATCCTCTCCTAGCATGCTTCGTCCTTCAAGTGTCTAAAAGACAGCCTTCTTACCCCGGGTGGGACTCGAACCCACAATCCCTGGCTTAGGAGGCCAATGCCTTATCCATTAGGCCACCGGGGCTGACGAGAGGGATGAAATATGAATCCTCCACTAGTTTGTTTCTCTCCGTTGTTCCCGTGTCAATTGCTGTGCGCACTACTTTTTCGCAAATCGCTGCCCTTTTGCCAGATTTTTGCGTCCATTCTCAGGCAAGGTTTTAACTCTGATTAAGTTAAGGCCTCGGAGCACCCCTGGGATCTAAAAGGGGCCGCACTTTGAAGAAGAAACTGAAAACTACATCACTGGTTCTATCTTAGCCCATTGGTCTAGAGTGGGTATAACGTCTGTGTGCAAGGTGTCCAAGATTCAAATATTGAGTGAGCCCTTTGAACCGTGACGGCGGGTAGGGAAAACGTGTTTGCGATGCAGGATACAGGAGCCGGCACGCTAATAGATGTTTTTGCGGTGCCGATTCCCTGTCTAGAGAGAGTGCACTGTGCTCGTCCTGTTTGGTTCTCTCCCTCTGTCTCTTCGACCAAATGCTACTTGGTAGGGACAGATCTTCACTTTTTTGAGTATACAGCTGACTTATATATTTTACTCGATACCCTCATCCTTAAAAAAAAAAAATTGAGGTTGCGTTGCGTTCCAGCCCAGTTACATTTACCTTCATGTCCTTTTGACTCTCCTTTATCTCGTGTGTGTGTGTGTGTGTGTGTGTGTGTGTGTGTGTGTCTGATCTAACTTATATTTACAAGCCTTATTAAACCACTATAACATTAAAGAGCAAATGACTCCGCACAGTTCTGTACCACGTGAGCTGGACCCCGGCCCTCGCCTTATGTGGCTCTCGTGGGAGTTGCGGGGATGAAAGACGTTTCCGATTACTCCGAATCCCTTGAATGGAGACACCCCCTCCCCCCCAAACACTCCAGGAGAAATGTCAACTCAATCCTGGACATATTTTTGTTATTTAAAAATTTACATTTTTACAGATACTTACACTGGACCTGTTAGGAGACGGCTTGTTGTTGTTGTTGAAACAAGACTGGCGTTTAACCCTCCTGCTTCTACCTCCCAGATGCAGGGGTGGGATTTCCTAGACAGGACACCTTCGCATCGTAAGAAACCTAATCTATTAGATTGTTTCATGGGTGGACATATACATAAACCAAATTTACTGCTTTAATTGACGTCCTGTTCAGTGACATCACCTTCATCCACCACATTGTGCAATCAACCGGATACCCTAGTCTAGTTGTTTGGTTTTTGGAGACAGGGTTTCTCATCGTAGCTGCCTACTGAATTTTAATCCAAGTGTCTTTGGCTTCCTCTTGGACAACTCCCACTCTCACTCAAGCAGCCCAATCTGGCATCTTTTATTTTCCTTTTCCCCGGCGCTAGTTCGGTTTAAACTAGCTTCACCCACTGATTACTAGCACGCTGGAAATCGGGAGTTCGGGAGTTCTCCGAGCCGTGGGATGAAAAGAAAGCAAATCTGAGAATGGGAAATTTTTAAGTAGGGTTTGTAAAAATCGTACTCTTGCAGCGACCACGAAGGGACTCGAACCCCCAATCTTCTGATCCGGAATCAGACGCCTTATCCATTAGGCCACGCGGCCCTACAGCAAAGAGTACCTTAGCTCTCTCTATAAGGCAGTCTCAAGAGCCTACTGCGCATGCTTACTTACTGGAAAAAGGTCCCGCCCCTTCGGCTAATCTATTTAGTGAGAGCTGCTTGGGAGCCTCAAGTTTGAATCAGTATGAACCTTCCTGGGCAGTCCGCCAGCCTAAGCCCCTCCGGATCTGAGAGGTTCGTCTTTCTGATCTTCTCCTCCACTTGCTGGCCCTCAACTCAGGATCAGGGACGGCCCATGCGCTTACGCCATCACGTCACTGGTAGATCCGCAATGGTCTCTTCCAGTTTGCGACCCGGCTTGACTCGCCTCTCCCGCACCTCGGTGCCCCGAGTCAGATGAAGACTGAGGAACGCACGCACCGCGTACTGGCAGGGAAGAATTGCGATCCCTGAGCTGGTCCTTCCCAGGACTCTTCCCCTTAGGCCGCTCCCAGCATATCCGACCAGCCCTGTTAGGTTCAATAGTCCCGGACGCAAGGCACAAACCCCAATTCAACCTCTGGTCCCCAGGAGCACAGCTGTTCCTCTATCTAGCGCCAGGTACTTGATCTCACTTATTTCAGAGAAAGCATTCATTTCACGGAGCACAACGATCGTGAACAGGTATTTATTGCACGCTATCTGAGCTCCCACACCCAAGGTGCTGAAACGCTGACAGAGTGCGTAACGAGGATAGAGCGGAAGTAGCCGGACTGTCAATCCTACAAACAGAGCCGGCGCCGGAGCGAGCTGCGGATCTCCAAGCATGCCTTGCGCCGCTCGTCACTGTCTGGCCCGAGCAAGTCCAGTTCACACACCCTCCTGTTGACCTGAGGAGTGACACTCAGCTAGGACCCGAGGGGCTCAGTCTGGCACACCCACCGCAGTCCTCGTCTGCTGGCGGTTTCTTTGTGGGGGAGGGGATGCTTTCTCAGACAATCACACTACGTATTCCAGGCTGGTCTCAAACTCGGAGATCCCGACGCTACCTTCCAGCTACATGCATGCCCCCACAACACCCGGCTCTTGTTCTGTTGTTCTGCAAGCCTAAAATTCCAAGTACTACTTAATCGTCTCACACTGCCCCAGAGGTTTAACGTGAGTTCCTTGCTCTCACCCAGTGGGAAAGGCTCCCACCCCATACGTATATCTGCTGAGTTGGTCTGATCAAAGTGCCATGTGTGTTTGATCATTTTATATTGTGTGAGCCGAGATCCCTCCTAGTAATAAAGGTGTTTATTGTTCTAGAAAGAAAGGGAGAGGGAGAGAGAGAGAGAGAGAGAGAGAGAGAGAGAGAGAGAGAGCGAGCTAGCACGCCTTCTCCTTTCCCTGGGGCAAGTGGGATGTAAAGGGAACACTACCACCAACCCAGACTTTCTCTATCCCTGTCCCCGCCCTTCACACCTCTGTCAGCAGCTCAATGAGATCTCCTCCTGGGTTGGCTCTCATGACCTCCACCAGCGTCTGGACAAAGTCTGAGCCCTTTTCTTCATCCCGATAGGCCACACAGCCTATGTCAGGGAGTGAAGCCAGAGAGTCAGTCAGTCTTGGGCTCCTTCCCTCTTGCATCCCAACCCTAGAAGCCTATTGAGGGTGGGAAGAGTGAGACGGGCAGGCAGAGGGTATTCTGGGTATCTGCCTTGAGCAGGGCCAGGGATTCTTGCATCAGGGAGAAATTGTTGATATTTCTAGAGTATTGGGGTAGAATAAATGTAGAACAAACATTTACTGTGGACTTGCTAGGTATCAAACACTGGTCAGGGTCCTGAGGCCAATGGACCTGCTCTGTCCTTGAAGAACCTACACAAGTGTTTGGTATAGTGATCACCTGACAAAAGCTTGCCATTGTTACGGTGACTATAAAGAGTACACTGTGGGGCGGAGATGGCTTCACTGCAGCTGGGCTGGTGCATCTGCTCCTACTGATATCAAAGTCACTCCAAGTCTCAGGGCAGGAAGCTAGATCTAGCAACAACCATGGGCTTCTTACCCTCAGCAGCTGAGTAGACAGTGAGGATGTCTGCTTGGCCAGTGCTCCCTGCAAAAGAGTCAACTCCCTTTATCGGCATCCTGGGACTTCAACTGCCTCAGGTCTGTCATCTCTGGTTTAAGGGCAGCACAGGGCAGTGGAAAGAGTGCAGGGAAGGAAGACAGATGGAAAACCACAAGCCTTCCAGCACTCGGACTGTATGAACGCAGAGAAGCTAGTTCTCCTTGCTGATTTCAAACCCTAGGCTCAGTCAGGTCCCTTGCGGCTTAAAGAGACATTCCCTCCCTGAGTCTTGGCAAAGAAGGGGCAGAGGTGATAACAGAACCCAAGATGACAGTCCTGGAAGTATGCCAGGAATGATTCCCACCAGTGTGCCAAGCCCAGGCTCTAGAAGGAAAGCAGACCCACCTGGGGCATCAACATGAACCTGGAGAACATCTGCCTGGGTGGGGATGCCTGGGGGTGCTCGCAGCCAGCGCCTGTACCATGGGAGAGCTCTTGGCCCCACACCAGGGTCCCTGTTCCCTGGAGAAGGAGGGGGGCAGATATGTGTACTCAGTGGTACCTAAGGATATTTCTGGGTGATACAGACTCCATATTAATAGTGGGGCAGGCTGTGGAGCTAGCAGTAGTCATACAAGCTCAAGGTTGTGGAGAGGATGGAGAGGGGTAAGGAAAGGCTAGTGTGCAGGCTTCCTGGAGGAGGTGGGTGGGAAGTGTAGGGGGCCAAGGACTGGCAGAGGAAAGCCAGGAGAGCTGGTTGGGCTGGAGGCAGGGCCTCTTACCCCCACGGCAGGCCTGAAGCAGGAAGACCTTGGGGCGGCCATGCAGTGCCTGGCAGCAGTTCAGCTCCTGGCCCAACATCTCGGACTGTACTTCTTGCCCATCAACCCCCAGCAACTGCCCTTGTGGCCCCCCGTGGGCCATCAGGGCCAGCAGGGCACAGCTCACAGGGCTCTTGTAAGTGTCCAGCTTTTCCCGAAACTGAGCCAGCTCCTCCCGGAATGCCTAAAGTGGTGAGGACGAGGGCAAGGTCTGAACCAGAGTCTGGTTGCCCTCCATGGGACTGGGGGTACTTCTTCAGCCTCAACCTTGGGGAACAGACTTCCCAAGGCAGGGGGGAAGTGACTTTCTTATTCATGGAGCAGGAAGTCAGAGGCTAGACGTATAGATGTACTTCCTGCCTGTGATGTGGGAGAAACCTAGGAAGGAAAACTCCAGGATCCTAGGGGAGGGGTACCCTTCCTTCAAAGCACTACCAATTTTGGGTTTCCCCTGACCTGAGCTGTAGGGTCTATCCTCAAGGTGACCTTGAAGTCTAAGGCCTGGCACAGGTCCACCAGTGCTGCCACATCATGCTGTGCCCCAAGCCGGTCTTGAATCACAGCCAGTAGGAGCGCGGCTCTGGTCCCAGACAGGTCATACTGTGCACTTGGTCTGGAGTCTGACTGTACAGAGAGTTAGGGACACACAGTGGGCTGAGGGGACTCCCAGTTCCTCCTCTCCCCATCTGCATCTCTCTCAGCCTCCACCCAACCTGCAACTGTCCACACAGGACTCACACAGGACTAGCCTCTCACCTCTGGCCTCCAGGGCTCCACATCTCCCAAACACAGGGTGCCCCGCAAGGAGGTCCTAAAGAATGGGCAGTAGGTATCCCCAGAAGACTCTTCAGCTACTCTGCAAAAGAGCTGAGAGGGCAGGGCCCAAGGACGCCTCAGAGAACCGCACTGTTAGGGATGAGCGTGGGCTGCATCCTAAGCAGAGGGTCAGGATCTTGGCTCCAGGGGAAACTTAGCCTGCTTGGAGCTACTAAGCTTTGGAGGTCACATAGCAGGGAGGTAGAGGGGAACACACAGAGGTCAGGATGGACTTAAGCAAGACCTAGGCTCTGACTCGTACTCAAGTTCATTATCTCACCCTAGGGATTGATACACACAGGGGCCGGACCCTCCCTGGAGAAACACAGGTCTGTGGAGGAGGCGGTGCTAGGCTGAGGGAGCCACGGAGCAGAGCTGGGGTCCACAGCTCTCACTTCTACGTCACTCAGACACCACTGAACCGCCCGGCAAGATGTTCAGACCTCAGGACCAAACCTGGGCCCATCTCAGCCACAAGGCCCTTGCAGCAGAACAGGGTAGCACACTGCCTGCTTGAGTGTCAAAGGGTGAGGCAGAAGTTCTGCTGTGGATACCAGGAGCACAAGGAAAGTTAGCAGGATGACAGTGAGACTGGCCAGGCCACCAGGGAGGGCACACCACTGTCAGTCAGGGAAGACTTCGGGCAAAGGCATGGGATGGAAAGAGAGTTTGGAGTCTGGGTGGTCCCATGTAGGCGTGAAGACACGTCCTGCAGCCCAAGCACGTGTGTAGCTGATAAAGGTTTTCAGAACAGATGCAACAGAGTGTGCATAAATTGAACTCTGGGGAGCCAGGGAGACACAGGCCCCGCCTTCCCTTCTTCTGGGTCCCCCAACCTCTGTCAGCAGCTGCAGCAGTGACCAGTGAGGACGTTGGTTGCAGATTTCCCCCAGACTCGTGAGGAAAGCTTCAGGCTCCCAGGCAGCTGGGGGAGAAGCACCAGGGCTGTGTAGGTAAGCCAGAAGGTCCCAGTTTTCCTGCTCATTCCCCACCTTTGCTTTTCCCTCCCAGAACTGGGGTCACTGCCTAGACACTCACCCTTGAGGCCACTAGAGAGCAACAGGAAGATTTTGGGGCAACCCTGCAGGGCCCCACAGCGACTCAGCTCCTGAACCAGCAGCTGTGGCTGCCTTAGCTGCCCACTGGGGGCCATCAAGACCACAAGGGCACACCCCACAGCACCCCTCTGGATATCCAGCTGCTCCCGGAACAAACTCAGCTCCTCATGGAATCTCTAGGAGAAAGAGGCAATGTCTGATAAGGCCCCAGCTAAGGGTGAGCGCTGTGGCAAAGGGTGAAGGTTGCAGGGTGAGTCTCACCTGGACTGAGACCTTCCTCTTCTCACAGTTTTCAAAGCCCAGAGCCTGGAACACACCATCCAGGGCAGCAGCTGCAGCCACAGACACTCCGGAACTGCTGAGTATCAAGGCTACCCTTGAACCCTGCACCCTGTATTTTCCCTGGGGAAGGAAAGTCAGAGCTATGCTGGGCTGAAGCCCAGCTGGGCATTGAGGATGGACTGAGCCAGGCAGAGCATCCCACTACCTGTCTTCCCAAGCTGTCCCAAGCATCTGCCAACTGTGCAGCCGCCTGCAGGGTCCCAGACACCAGGAAGGCCATGAGGCCCAGTGGGGCTTCCTCCAAGCCCAGAGCTTACTCTCTGGCTCTGGTTCCAAGCACACTGGGGCCCGATCCTTGCCCTTTTCTACACATGTTGCCTCCTATCAACTGCTGTGATCCCATCTGGACTTTGCCCTTCTTTGGTAACCCTAGGCTCCACTCCTCCAGCCTAGCTCTCTTCTCTAGCTCTGGCTGATAACTTCATGGCTGGCATTCCTGTGTTCCCACCTGAGCCATGAGCTTGAGCTCAATTCTATTCTTAGTCCTTGGCCCATACTCCTATCTGATCATGTTACACCTAAGTGTCTCCCTTAGGAGGGTGCTCCCAGCTCTACAGCCCATACTATTCCCAGCATCCTTTTCACCCTATCCTCCACACGACTGCACAAAGTCCAAGCATACAACAGTGCAGAGCTTACAGAGGCACGAACAGCTAGCTGACTGGAACCTGCTGAACCAACAGTATGACCTTGGTTGCTTCATGTGGGAAATAGGAAAGGTTGAGACCACAAGGCAGATGTGCTATGCTGGGGGCTGGCAGAGGAGGGACCCTGGGGACAAAGGTTGGCACACATGAATCAGTTAGTAAGGGACAGAAACATCTTGTCTCTATCTATCCCCAGGACAGGTCCCCTAAGTCTGACAAAATGAACCAAGAAGATCAGCAAGATCAGACAAGGAGTGACTGGCCCTGACCAGGCACCACCAGCTTGCTGTAGGCCCCAGCTTGTACTGGGGGCTGGTACTCCTTTTAGCTGATTATCCCCTCTGAAAACTTCAAGCTCACACAGGGCCAGCTGAGCTTTGATCTCACAGAGCAGCAGGTGTGCCCCCTCATTCAGTCGGTCAGTTCCCCTTTGGCCCCTTGCTCACTTTACCACTGCAGGTAAAGGAGGACCTGGCAGACTTCAAGTCAAACCAGGACTGCACCGACTGACACAGGAGAGTCAGTCACAGGGCTGCAGGTACAAGATGTGGCTCCACCTGGTGACCACATACACCCCAAACCATCAGCGTTAACAAGTCAAAAGATAACTCCCATGCCCCTAACTCAGAAAAGCCAGCTAAAAAATGACAGCCTCAAGGAAAATGTCCATGTTTATTCAAACCCTTCTGAACACCACCGGGCTGAGCCCTTTTGGAGGGTCTATGCTCTGTCCTGTTAACGTCAGTCTGCACACAATGCAGACTAAACATGGAATACAGTGCTCAGGTGTCAGCACAAAGTGCAGACAGAGCGCTAGTGTAAGTACGACAAAGGCCGCACGTCTGGAGGACGGGTCTTCTCCAGAGTCAGCCTGCTGCTACAGCCACCACCTCCACTAACCTCCAGACCTGCAGGCCAGTGTGTCTCAGGGCTCACAGCATGACAGCTAGGTAGCTTCCTGGGGTTGGAGCAGGAAAGAGGGGTCACAGGTTGGAAGTGGTGGAGTGTAGGGGGTGAAGGCTAGGAAGCTAAGGTGAACGCAGGACCTAAATTCTCATTGGTGTGGGCCCATGATCCTTACCAAAGCCAAGCAGTCCCCTGAGGATGAAGGCCAGTCCCCACAGGAAGGCACAAGTAGACAGAAAGAGACGGCCTCCAGCCAAGGAAGCCTGGAAGGTCCTGGGGAAGAAACCCTAGGTCCTGCCCGGGAGGCCTCACACCATCTGATACTCAGCTAGAAACTGTGAAGCTCCAGGCAACAAGTGGAAGAGAAATCCAGAGCAGGAATGGGAGAGACAGGAGGCAAATCCTGGGAGCAGGCATGCCAGTTCAGAGTACAGAGGCCTTGGGTCCCTTCCATACGCTGGCAGTGGTCACAGGCAAGAGGAGAATTCTCCAAGAGGAACAAAGAGAGGCCGTGAGACTCACGGGGAGTGTCCACCTCGCAGGACTGCTCAGGTCCCATCGGCGACTCACCCCACGGGTTGGGCCATCTTGGCATGTAGGCTCTGGTGCGCGATGAGATGTGCACGCTGCTTGAAGCTCTTGTCACACTCGCCACAGCCAAAAGGCCGCTCTCCCGTGTGCACGCGCCGGTGGTCCAGCAGGTAGGAGCGCAATGAGAAGCTCTTCCCGCACTCGCTGCAGCCGAAGGGCTTCTCCCCTGTGTGGATGCGCTGGTGGTCTGCCAGGTAGGCGCTACGGCTGAAGCTCTTGCCACACTCAGAACAGGAGAAGGGCTTCTCACCCGTGTGCACGCCCTGGTGACGCACCAGATCAGAAGAGCTGCGGAAGCTCTTGTCGCATTCAGGACATTTGTGTGGCTTCTCACCAGTGTGCGTTCGCTGGTGCCGGGCTAGGTCTGAGCCCCAGCGGAACCGCTTCCCACACTGTCCGCAGCTGTGTGGCTTCTCAGTCACTAAATCCCGAAACTGCCGCCTGCGCGTGGGCGGCCGTCCCCGACGCGCAACCACCAGCGGGCCCAGGGCTGTCCTCTGTGGGTTCTCGCTCTGCCAGACCTCGGTGTCAGCCTCCTCGGGATTCCAGGACATAGTCACTTCACAGTTGGTCTGTCCCGACAATGTTGTCACAGCCTCCTTTGGAGAAGATCTCTTGTTCTGGCTTTTGGATCTCAAACCTGCAAGGTGGGGAGAAGCCACTTTAGTCCCCCTTGACTCTGGGACGGGAAGTTTTGAGATTCAGGCTGCTGCGGCTCAGACTTCTTACCTACAAAACGACCATTTGGGCGAGCAAGATGGCTGAGTGGATACAGTCACCTGCTGCCAAGCCTAACCACCAAGCCCGAGCTTTGTCCCCCAGAACCTACATTGAGAAAGGAAGGAACAACTCCAGAAAGCCATCCTCTGATCTCCACACATGCGCCTCTCTGTACTGCACACAAAATAAAAATATTAAAATGTAATTTTATTTTAAAAGTCTATTTTTTAATGGGAAGATGATAAAAGGGCAGCAAAAGAACAGCTCTGAGGGAGCCTTAGGGAGCCACTGAGCGGACCCTTCCTAGAGCAACTGCTGTTACAAAGACCTCTGCCTGTTCCCCACCTGTGGCCAGCGTCCCTCTCCACAGCTGAAGCCAATGGCTCATCCCCTGCCTGTAAACTGAAGGCACCAGCATGCGTAGCTAGTGTGGCCCCTCATTCCTTAGGCTCCAGCGTTGCAGACACAACACACAGCAGCCTTGGACAGGGAGGAACCCCAAGCCCACTCATAGTGCCACCACATAAGTAAGATGAGATCAGGCAACGCCAAGAAAGGGCTTGACTGGGTGTGAGTACAAATACTGGGGTGCAGCTGGGGCTCTGCTTGCTTTTGTTTTGGCTTTAGCATGTCTGTCGCTGACAAGACCCATCAACCTCACTGGATCTCAGAATGTTGTCTGGGGACAAACTTTCCTATGCACTAGACTGAGATGTGATGAGAAAATGCCCTTCCAAGCCCTCAGCATGGCACCCTCTGCATGGGCGTCCTCTGCATGGCGCTGGCACAGAGAACACTGGTCAGCTGGTCACATAACCCACAGAGACAGTCACTTGGGCATCATTAAGGAGGCTGTTGAGGAAACTCAGAAAAGCCTAACTTTAGAACCTGGTTAGGGAAGGGTGGGAAGAAAAACCAGAACTACAGCAGAAAGAGGCCCCATAGTTCTGCTTACCAAGAGCAGCATTCCGGGAGTTCTCTCTCTTTATGTCCCAGAAGAGATCCCTCTGGGCAGGGTCCAGGGAGCCCCATTCTTCTCGGGAAAAATAGAAAGGGATGTCTCCCGATGCCACAGGTTTTTGGAATGGGGAGATATGACCCAGCTGAGGTCTCCCAGACAGCTGTGAATGGGAACAGGAGGGGTCAAATTACATGTTCAACTGCACCAAGTCCTCTGAGGGAACAAAGGGACTGCTCACTCACCTGCACAGTAGAGGCAAAGGAGACATCCGTCGTCTGTCCTGTCTGTCCTTCTTTAAGAACAGGAAGCTCGGCTGAAGGGAAAGAACAGAGCTTCATACAGGTCAAGGACTGAGACTGATGGCTTCGTCACACGTACACACACCAAATGCGTGCACGTGTGTGCTCATGTGACTGGGCTTCCCTGTTACCCTCAGGGCAATTGTAGAGAAGAAACCTAGGCCCTGTGTAGCCACATAACTGACCAAAGAGTCTTACTCACCATGGCTGTGTTGCTCTTGGTGAGCAGGTAGCTGCTTCTGTATCCTTGCCTTCTGGGGAGGCCCTGGAGTTTGGAGTGTCTGGACTGCAGCCTTAGGCTCCACTTCAGAGGGCTCATCCTGTGCAGTAACAGTAACAAGCCCATTAGCACAGAGACCAGACTGGGGGGGGGGGGGGGTAGGAGACACACCCATTAGGAGCCTAAGGGTTGGGTGGGGTGAGAGATTTAAATGGAGACCCAGAAAAGACCAGAGAAGAATGTGACACCAGGCAGTGTTCTGTATTCAAGGACGAAACTTCCTGATCAAGAGGCAAGAAACAATCCCTAAAAGGCTAAAAGTATAGCTACTTAACAAAGGAGAAAGGTGTGTGTGGTGTGGGGGAGGGGGTCCTCCTGCCAAGGCAGAATCCCACACCCTAGCGGCTTTTTAGCCCCAGAGGCTCCCAATGTCAAGGACTCAAGACTGCTGGGTACCCTTAGATGTTCCACCTTCTCAGTCCCCTCCAGTGCTATGTAGCATTGTTTTTGACTGATTAGAGTAAAGCATGAATAGTTGTGTGGAGCTTAAAACCTTTCTTCATTCACTGGGGAGGCAGAGGCAGGCGGATCTCTGAGTTCAAGGCCAGCCTGGTCTACAAAGTGAGTTCTACATTTACTTAAGATTTGTCTTTCAGAAAAGCATCCTGGGCTGCGTTGGGATTGTGTGTGTGTGTGTGTGTGTGTGTGTGTGTGTGTGTACTTCCCTGGACTCAGTGTTTCCCTGTCCCCTGTAGAGATTTGTCTCCATGAAGAAAGATGGCCTCAACTCTTCAGGCTCCTAGACGTGGAAAGGACCCTTCACCTGTGGCCAGGCTTTCAATGACTGATTCTGTATGTCCTCCACCAAAGCGACAGCTTCCTCGCCGCTCCCAAGGTGCTGTCTCTGCACCTGGGCTTGGATCTCCCCTGGCAGCACAGCTAGGAACTGCTCCAGCACCAGCAATTCCAGGATCTGCTCCTTGCTGTGCAGCTCCGGCCGCAGCCAGCGGCAGCAGAGCTCCCAGAGCTGGCTGAAGGCTTCGTGTGGCCCAGCCACATCCCGGTAGCAGAACTGACGGAAGCGCTGGCGGCAGGCTTCTGAATCCTTGCTGTCCACCTGCTGGGCAGGTTCCTGCTCCCAAGAGCAATCTTCCACCTTCACAATCAGAAGTCCTTCTTCCTCCCCAGGAGCACGGTCTTGGAGCCCCTGGAAGGATGCCATTTCCCTGGGCTAAGTGGACCTTAGCTTGGGGCTCCAGAGCTGACCCTTTCAGTCTCC